GCTAATTCGTAGTGGCAGTCTGCAACCATTAAAACTTTCACGGATCCTTTGCTGCCTTGTCAAGCATTAGTTAACGAAGCAGGAAACAGGAAGAGGACTTCTACAAGTCCATTGAAATAAAAGAAAAATGCTCGGCATGTGAAATATGTTTACAGAAGCTAATAAAAGTTACTTGCCTGAATAATAATAAGATTGTAATTTAGGATTAGCTGACGATACAGAAACCATTCAGTTGAAAACCATGGAGTGAAGAATTGAGGTGCTGAATAAAGAGCTAGCACTGAGGACAGTGGATTAAATTGTCTCCCTTTTGTGGTGATTTCCATGATTCTGCAAGTCAGGAAGATATAATAATTTCTGAGTAATGAAATAAGCCTGCCTTAATGGTGACTTAAATATAATACTGCAGTTTACAGAATTGTAAAAAATTGCCTCGGGAAGGCAGCCAACCTAATCAAAGACCCCTCCACCCCGGTTATAATCTCTTCCAATCCCTCATTGGGCAGAAGGTACAAAAGCTTATATGTACCAACAGCTTTATCCCCACTGTTATTAGGCTTCTGAATGGACAGGTCAAGGGGGCGGTGTCCGTCCTCCCTGGACTGACCTATCCCCTCCCTAACTCTCCACCTACACTCACCTTTACTGGCTCCATCCCCGCCTCTTTGACCTGTCTGTCTCCTCTCCACCTATCTTCTCCTCTATCATCTTCAATTCGCCTCCCCCTCTCACCCTATTTATTTCAGAACCCCCTTCCTCTCCCCCATTTCTGAAGAAGGGTCTAGGCCCGAAACATCAGCTTTCCTGCTCCTCTGATGCTGCTTGGCCTGCTGTGTTCATCCAGCTCTTCACCTTGTTATCTCATTTGCCAGTAGTTTCTGTTTTTGTTTCAGATCTTCAGAATCCACAGTTCTTTGTTTTCTTTATTATGTAATTTATAATAATTATATAAATGGGTACTGTGTGATTTTGTATAAGCGAAGTATTGCAAGGGGTAGTAAGGATATCGACTAGATTAAAAATATTAGAAATGAGGTGCTGAATGGTTTGCCATCACTCAGAGTTAACAAGTCACTTGGTCCGGAAGAGGTGCAAACTGGGTTGTTAACTAAGGGAAATTTGGTTAGAAATAGTAGAAGCTTTGTCCATAATTATTCAATCCGTTTAGATAGAGCAGACACCTCAGAGCACAGGAGTGCTGCGAATGTTATGGCTCTGTTCAAAAAGGAGAAGAATTTAATTTGGTTACTACAGGATTACCACTCTAATATTAGTAGTGAGAAAACTACTAGAGATCACTGTCAAAGAGAATATTAGAACTTGTTTGGGGAAGCATGAATTGATTCAAGGATTTGTTGAAGGTTAATGATGTCTGACAAAATTTGATTGAGTTCTTTGGTACAGTTGTTGTGCATCTGGACTTTCAAAAGGCATTTAGGAAAATACCACATAAAAGGTGCAAGCGGAAAACAAATTTAAAATTGTGGTTGTAACTTGGGTATAATTGGCAAAAGAGTAGAAGGCAAGGCATGATAGTGAACAGACGTTTATCTGACAGGAGAGATGTGTGCAGTAGATCTCCCAGCTTTCAGTATTAGGATCACGTTCCTTCTATTTTCGTCCCAGATGGTACAAAAGTTAGCAATGTAGTAAACGGTGAGTAGGATTATAGCAGCCTTCAGCAGGACCTGAAAATACTGGTGCAATGTGTAGGCAGCTGGTAGGTACAATATAATTTGGAAGTGGGAAGTTATGCATTTAGAGAGGCAGAACTATCCAAATGGTATTGCTTTGAGGGGGTGCATGAGCAGCAGAATTTTCAGTTACACATTTACAAATTCTTGAGGATGGTAAAGCAAGTTGAAAAGGTGGTTATGGATGAAAATGATGTAAAATACAAGATAAAGAAACAGATCTTAAACCTTTACAAATCACTGGTTAGGCCTCAGCAGGAGTATAATGTCCAATTCTAGGCAACACACTTTAGGAAGGAGGTCCAGGCCTTGAATATTGTGCTGAAGAAGTCTACCAGGATGAAGTCAAAGATGAGACACCTTACTTATGGAGAGAGATTGGAAAAGCTAGGATAGTTCTCTTTAGAGCAGAGAAAACATGAGGCCAGTTAGAAATATTCAGAATAATGAAAGGTTTTCATAGAGCAAGTAGGGAGAAAATCCTTTCGAGTGGATCAATAAGTAGAGGTAAAATAGTTTGCAAAACATCCAAGAGGGAAATGAGTCAGAGAGTTGTAGATGGCTACAGCATGGAAACAGGCCCTTCGGTCCAACTTGTCCATTCCGCCCAAATTTCACAATTAAACTTGTCTCATTTGCCTATGTTTGTTCCATATCCCTCTATACCTATCCCATCCATCTATCTGTCTAAATGTTTCTTAAATGACTAAATTGTGCTTACCTCCACCATTACCTCTGGAAGTCATTCCAGACACTCACCACCCTGTGTATGGAAAAAAATGTCCCTCTGGATCCTTTTGTATCTCTCCCCTCTCAACTTAAAATTATGCCCGCTAGTTTTAGACTCCCTTACCATCGGGGAAAAGCTGTTGGCTCTCTACCTTATCCGTACCTCTCATGATTTTATATACCTCTATAAGATCACCCTTCAGTCTCCTACGCTCCAAGCAAAAATGCTCCAGGGTATCCTTATGGTTCAAACCTTCCAGTCTGGGTACCATCCTAGTAAATCTTTTCTGTACTTTTTCAAGTTTAATTATATCCTTTCTACTGTCGGTCAACCAGAACTGCATGCAGTACTCCAAATGTGGCCTCACCATCATCTTCTACAGCTGCAACAAGATATCCCAACTCCTATACTCAATGTCCTGACTGATGAGAGCAAGCGTGCTGAAAGCCTTCTTCACCACCCTTTCTACCTGTGACTTCAAATGAATTGTTTTTTTTTACACAGGTAGTTATTATGCTGGATGACAAACCAGAAAGGGTGGAGAAATCAGATGCCATAGAAATGTTCAAAAGGCAAATTGACATGTATTTGAAGAGGACTACATTTTTGGATGATGAGGAAAAGCCTGGGTGTGGGACTAAACTGGACATCTCTTTGAAAGAGCTGGCACAAGTATGATGGGCAGAACAGCCTCCTTCTCTTTTCAAATATTCTATATTGCTGAGATTTTAGAGTCTCAAGAAGTGAGCAGGAAGGCTGTTGGGACCAGAAAGTCAGGAGGGAAGGTAAGGTAGGTGGGTGGGATCAGGGGAGGGATGTTGCCATGACTTTTCTGCTATCGTGGCATTTTGCCAGCACTGGGGAAAAGGGCAGATGGCCTTCCCACCCCAAATGTGGTATGAAGGCTATTTCAGAATTGTATAATTAAATACGCACTTGGGTTCAATACTGTGGGAATCATGTGACTAAGCATCTGGGACTAGGTGAGTGGATGGGAGGAGTGGAGAAACAGTTAGAATTGAGACAAAAGCTTGCACTGCAGATAAAGAACACTGTCTATGGTCCATTCCATAGTTTAGGTGGACAGTCATTAACATGTCATCTTATGGGTATCACTTTCAATTCTATTGTTTAAGGATATTTTTTAATCTTTGAAAGCAATCATCTCTGTAGAGGCTGATAATACAATAGCTTGATAGTCCAGTCTCATTAAATGATACATGAGGCATTGTCCAGCTGATGTTGACTTCTGAGCAATTTCTGGAAGGTTTCTACTAAATCCAATTACATGATGATAGCCATGTTTGTGAGGCTGCATTTTTAAAACAGACACTATATATATAAATATAGATAGATAAACATAGATTTATATTAACATTTGGTTTTTAATCTATTCATGACAGAGGCCATTCAGCTCATCATATCTTTGCTGGTTTTCCAAAACAGCATTGCATCCACTGCCATTCCCTTGCCTTTTCTTCACACTCCTGCATATTCTTTCTTCCCCGATAATAATCCAATTTCTTCTTGAATGTCTTACTTGAACCACCACACTCTGTATCCTAACCAACTGCGTGAAAATGTTTTTCTTCCTGTCATTGTTGATTCTTTTGTCAATTAATTAAGATCAGCGCTTTCTTGATCTTGATATTTCCACCAATTGGAACGATTTTTCCCTATCTACTCTGTCCATTCACGTCATGATGATGAATACCTCTATCAAATCACTTCCCAACCTTTTCTTTTCCATGCAAAGCAGTTTTAACTGCCTGAATCTATCTGCATAACTGATGAATGCGAGGAAATACTTAAGAGGAAAGAAATAAATTGAACTTTTGAGATATGATGTATAAAGCCAACATTTTACTTCAGTTCTTTCTAATGTAGTGTCTTATTTTGTCTCTTGGAACCTAAGTTATTCGTGATAAATTGTTTTCCGGTGTAGTGACTGTTATGTTGGCAGCTACTTTAAACACAGCAGAGTCGCAGGAACAACGGAGAGAATGAGCGTTTTAACAGTTTTGGTAATATTTGCATTGGAAAGAATGTTGGCAAGATAGAAAGGGGATCTATACCTTCTCTTTTTGCTTATTTGGCTAAATGGCCAGTTGGAGGCTTGTTTTTACTCCCCAATCAAGGGAAGGTATTGATGACAGTCAACAATATATGGAGTCATTTCTCTGCCACTGGTGTGGAAGATATGGCTTCCACACAGACAGAAGTATTGACACAATACCACATCTCTGTAATTCAGGGTCTTACTGTAGTATTTCTAAAATTAAAGTTACTGACATTTGAAAGAGTTTGATCATTCTAAATACCTTAGCTATTAATAATTTCTGTGGGCGTTCATATAAAGCATTCTCTTTCAGGGAGTATGGAGCAATTGACGATGTGGACATCGACTTGCACATTGATGTCAGCTTTCTTGATGTGAGTAAACAAAACTGTCATTCATTATATTACAACATGATTCATTAAGCAGGGAATTTGTGTGCAAATAAATTGAATCACATTCCTGATTTTATACTGAAGGGCACGTTATTCATGGCTCATTAAATTCCATTCCCAAGTTCCGAAATTAAAATTGTCTGCACTGTTGTGAAAATGTTCGACATAATGATGCTAACTTGTGAGATGATTGCGTACATGGTTAACTCATCCTAGACATCAGTTGAAAGGTTGCAAAGTGCTGGACGAAGAAGCAGGTGCATGGATGAATTTACCCTTGTCCAAAGTGATCAGCAGATTTCTAATAGTGGTCTCTGTGAATTGATGTTTCTTCTGCTGGGGAAACATGAGAGGAAAAATGGGAAAGTGGTCTGATTTAGGTTCTAATGTTTTACCTAGTGTAATAGGCAGAGCTACGGAGAAATTTCCAGCTTGTAATCTCAACCAGGCAACAATGAGTGGCACACAACCAATGAAAAAGTAGAATAAAATGTAACCCTTGAAGGAAGGAATAATAACACATGTGATATATCATATGGTGAGGTTGTGCCACCATTCATAGAGATGAAGGAATGGCAATTTATAATGGAGTTGTGTGAAGTTAGTCCCCGTTGCCAAAAGATGGAAACTACACATGTTGGTGTGAGCCCCCAAATCTTTTAAGTGAAATATTTTAAGTATTTCTTTTATTCTGTTTATTTAAACAATGGAAAGTTAAATTCTTTAACAACATCATGCCACTTTAAGTATAGATTGCAATTTGCTTGTATCGTTCTTTCTTGTTTCTAATTTAGCTTCCAACTTTACCAAAGATACTCACTCGCATAAGTCTCAGACTTGGCAACAGGTCAGCACTGGGACTTCCTTTCAAGAACTCACTAATTGCTGTAGTCACATCTGGAGGCGTTAATTATGTGTCAACAAAGTGTGAGCCCAGTCCTGCTGTTGGCCAGTTTTTTTGATATACACACTTCCCACAAGAATCACTGAACAATGTGGCAACCTTTATTACGTCTTCCCTAGTTCAGTGGCACAACATCGCAACAGTTCATCCAAGCACTGAATCTGACACCAGGCATATCATACAAATGATGAGAATAAGTTGTGGAAGATTGAAGAGAGACATTTCTCCTATAAAGTAATACAGAAAAATGAATTCCAAGGCTGGAAGTTCATCAATTAATCTACAGGGAAAGATTTTATAATGTTCTAATGTTTTAGATGTCCTAAATGTGGAAATGTATTTTGTTTAAATTCTTTTAATGGAGTGTGAACATCTCTGGCAAGGCCCATCTATAATTGATCTGGAGAAGGTAGAGATGAACTACTTTCTTGAACTTCTCCAGTCCTTGGAATGTGGGGGCACCACCGTGCTGTGCAGAGTAGAGTTATGGAGTTTCAGGTTCATGAACAAATGACAGTGGAGATATAGTGATATAGTTCCAGCTCAGGCTGGTGGTGGGCCTGAGGCAGAACATGATGGTGGTGGGGTCCCCATTGCATCTGTTACCCCTTCAAGGCAGTAGAGATTACAGGCTTGGAACCTGTTCTTGAGGAAGGCTTGGGGAGTTGCTGCAGTGCATCTTCTGTGTACTGCACACAGCCACCACTATGGCATGGTGGAGGATGGAGTAAATAGAGTCATACAGCATGGAACCAGACCCTTCGGTCCAACTAGTCCATGCCAAACATAATCCCAACTAAACTAGTCCCACCAGCCTGCTCCTGGCCCATATCTCTCCAAACTTTTTCTATTCATGTACCTATCCAAATGTCTTTTAAACGTTGTAATTGTACCCGCATCCACCACTTCCTGAGGAGGTTCATTCCACATGTGAACCACCCTCTTTGTAAAAAAAAAATGCCTCTCATGTTGCTTAAGATAGTGATGAGGAGCCGATTAAATGGGCTCCTTTTTCAGGATGGTGTTAATTTTCCCAGTGGGTTGTTGGAGCCACTCTCATCCAGGCAAACAATCATCAAGAAACATCCCGAACTCTAAATGTACACTTGATAGCTGCATTTATGAATTAGCTGCACACAGTATCCAGTTCTTTGACAGTGATTGTGTGCAACTTAAATGCTACATTTAACTGTTAACAATGTAGTATGAAGTTTTTTTCCATAATAAAATTAACAGAAAAGCTGAAATGAGTAGAAAATGGAAATTTCTCATTTCAATACATAAGCCAAACCTTGCATGAAAAACAATAGATTTGCCAACAAGATCCCAAAGCAGCCTTTACTGAGTTTCCTTCTGTCTGGAGCATCTAGTTCCTTGCAGTAAATTGTGACAATGGATGGGAACAATTTAATAGGAGCCAAGCATAATTGAGCTGTTAGTATGACAACTTCAACATTGTCAGGTTTAGCACCCAAATAGATTCACCTGCACATTTGTTATGTTAGAAGATGAATGAAGTGCGCACTTAGTGTGATCATTCATTATACATTGCTGATAGATCTTGTTATTTTTATATTTCTGAATAAATTGTTTTGTTTCTGCTTGCCTGGCTATTTGACAGGAGGAGATTGCTGTTGCTTGGGATGTAATTCGCACAGAACCAGTGATAGTACGTCTGCATTGCTCTCTCACGCAGTATTTAAATGGCCCAGGTTAGTACTATTCTGAATCTTTAGGTTAATACCAATATTTATTCACAATAATGTTTTTGAAATCCAAACATGTTAAATGCATATGGGTGTCAGAAATCCACTTTTGCTCTAAAATCTTTCATTTTGATGTTATTGAAAAATATAACTGACATTGGAGAAGTAACTTTCTCACTTAGCTTTCCTGGTACCTGCCTAAAATATAAATTGAACATTTGGGCAGTCACTATCTATAATTGCAGGCCCCTAAGATCATGACCGATAAACATTAATGGTGGAAGCTGCTCCTCACTAAAAGCCTAAGGCCAGAAAATTACTCTGAAAGGATCTGCTTTAGTTTACCTCAATACCGTAGAAGGTGAGCACTTCATTTGTAGTGGTTTAGGTCTAGGGATTGAGTTTCTCACAGGTATACTACCTGAACTCGGTCATCATAGTGTTGGTGCTACAAAGATGCAAGATGGGGGAAAATTCATTATTTAACTGTATTCCTTTGATTTGTGTCTTTTGGAGTCGTCCAACTTCCTATTCAATGATTTCATCATCCATCCAACTGAAACTGTGTGAGTGGATGATGAGGGTTTTGGGTGGCGGTTTTGGCAGGCAAGCAAAGATGTTTTGGAGTATGCTGACAAGCTATCTAATCTCCCTGTGATCCTGCTATTTAAGGCTAACTTTGAGTACGAACAGAACAATGGATTGGATAGGGACAGTTATGACTTTGAAACAGCAGTAGCAAAATGGAATGGTGAGTCAAGGGGAGAGAGGAACTAGTCCTGACCAGCCTTGCCATGGTTAAGCTCTCATATCACAGTCAGAGAGGATATGAGCTCATTCAGAGCTATTTACACAGGACCTGGTTCAGATCTTTGGTGGGCAGCCACTCCTTTCCCTTGTAGATCTTCTCTTGTCCTGTGTTGTACTAAATATGGGAGATTGGACCAGGTTTTCAGCTAAACCCAGCTAACCAATGAAATACTAAGCTGTTCTGTTATACAATATAAACTGTTTGGTCACCTCTCATTTGTTAAGTGACAATCGGTGTCCTTGTTGAACACACATCCATTGAAACAATGGGAGAATCTGACATTTGTCCCTCAATGATTTTTTTTGTGGTTCATGCACTGATGTATACCTGACAGAAAATAGGGGAGAAAAATATTGCAGGCAGTGTAAACTATTTAGATACTGCTGTCATATTCTGATCCTGGTAATAAAAATGGTACGAGCTTGTTTACCTTGTATTTCATAGTTGGGCAATTTGAGATTCGATTTGATTCTCTTTTTTTTTAACTATACAGTCAGCCAAACAAGCCAGTAATGACGGGGTGGGAGGGTGTGCTGAGAGGAGGATACAAGAATGCTTCGTTGTGATTTGAACAAGTTGAGTGAGTGGGCAAATGTATGGCAGGTCCTTTATTCATTTATTCATTCACAGGATGAGGGTGTTACTGGCTAGGCAAGCATTTATTGCCCAGAGGGCAATTTAAGAGTCAACCACATTGCAGTGGGTCTGGAGTCACTTGTAGGCCAGACCAGGTAAGGATGGCAGTTTCCTTCCCTAAAGGACGTTAGTGAACCAGACTTTTTTTTTCCGACAATCGGCAATGGGTTCGTGGTCATCATTAGACACTTAATTCCAGAGTCCACCACCATGGTGGGATTTGAACCCAGGTCCACAGGACAATACCTGGGTCTCTGGATTAACAGTCCAGCCATAATACCACTAGGCCATTGCCTCCCCATGAAGATGAAGTACAATGTGGATAAATGTGATTTTTGGTAGGAAAAACAGGAAGGCAGAACACTGAATGGTGATAGATCAGGAAAGGAATAGGTGCAACATGACCCTGGGTCTCTTTGTACACCAGTCACTGAAGTTAAGCATGCAAGTATAGCTGACGATGAAGAAGGCAAATAGTGTGTTGGCTTTCATAGCGAGGGGATTTGAGTACAGGAGCAGGAATGTCTTGCTGCAATTGTACAGGGAGTAGGTAGCCCACAGCTGGAGTATTGGGCTCCTTACCTGAGGAAAGATGTTCCAGCTAAGGTAAAGGTAAAGTTGCCATAGTCCCACCAGAACATAGGGCTGCACTCTCAGGAGGGAGAGCGATGACTAGTGGTGGTATAAACTGAGGGTCACCACAGCTCAGGTGAGGGGAGAGATTGAGAAGGACAGATCTTCATGGTAACCATGGCATCTTGCTATGGAGGGAGTGCAGCAAAGGTTGACCAGACTGATTCCTGGGATGGCAGGACTGACACATGAAGAGAGATTGGATTAGTTAGAATTATGTTTGTTGGAGTTTAGATGAATGAGGGGAATCTCATAGAAACCAATAAAACTCTAACAGGACTATACTGGGTAAACAGGATGTATGTTGTCTGTGATCGGTGAGTCCAGAACTAGGGGTCACAGTTTAAAGATATGGGCTCGTCCATTTAAAACTAAGATACAGAGAACTTTCATCACCCAGAGAATGGCAGTGTGTGGAAATCTCTGTCATAGAAAGTGGTTAAGGTAAAAACATTGCATGTTTACAAGAGGTAGTTGGATATAATTCTTAGGGTTAAAAGGATCAACAGTATGGGAGAAAGTGGGAACACTGAATTGGATGATCATCCAAGATTACATTGAATGACACAGCAAGCTCGAAGGGCTGAACAGCCGACTCCTGATCCTATTTTCTCTGTTTCAATGGACTTTTTTGCTTTGCTAGGTCTCCTTGATGCCACATAAATAAAAAGTGAAAGAACTACGAATGCTGTAAATCAGGAATAAAAGCAGAAGTTGCTGGAAAAGCTCAGCAGGTTGACAGCATCTGTGAAGAAAAAATTAGAGTTAATGTTTCAGGTCTGGTGACCCTTCCTCAACTGGGTCCAACCCATCTCCCACACTTCTGCCCTTACCCTCTCTTTTCCCACCCACAACACTTCACCTACACATTCGCTGCTCACAATATAGTCTCCTCTACATTGAGGAAATGAAGAGAGATTGGGTGACTGCTTCACCGAACATCTACGTTCTGCTCGCAAAAAAGACCCTGAACTACCTGTTGCCTGCCACTTTAACCCAATTCCCTGTTCCCTGGCTCACATCTGTGTCTCTGGCTTGCTGCAGTGCTCCAGCGAAGCTCAACGCAAGCTGGAGGAACAACATCTCATTTTCCACTTGGGGACCCTGCAGCCATCCGGACTCAATATTGAGTTCAATAATTTTAGGGCTTAAACGCTGCCATATCCTAGCCCCCTACCTCTCACACCAGACCTTGTTATCACACAACCTGCCATTACACACTACCTGTTGTTAGTCACTAACAGTCCCTATTAACAGCAATTCACTCTCCCAGCCAGATCGTTATCAACTCCTTTGTCTATCCAACTGCTCTTCTGTCTCTCTCCAGGCTCTATCTTCTTTATAAAAAAGAGTTCTGAGGAAGGGTCATTGGACCCGAAACGTTAACTCTGATTTTTTTTCTTCACAGATGCTGCCAGACCTGCTGAGCTTTTCCAGCAACTTCTGTTTTTTTTCTTCTCCTTGATGCCACACTTTGTTGAATGCAGCCTCGATATCAAGGGCTGTCACTTTCATCTCACTCCTGGAATTCAGCTCTTCTGTCCATGTTTGAACGAAGGCTGTAATGAGGTCAGGAGCTGAGTGGCCCTGGCGGAACCCAAACTGGGCGTCACTGAGCAGGTGCTGCTTGATAGCACTGTTGATGACACCTTCCATCACTTTACTGATGATCGAGAGGAGACTGATGGGGCAGTAATCGGTCCAGTTAGTTTCGTCTGACTTTTTATGTGCAGGACACACCTTGGGAACTTTCTACTTTATCAGGCAGCTGCATTAGCTTGGCTTGGAAAATGGTAAGTTCTGGATCACAAATATTCAGTACTAAAGTTGGAATGTTGTCAGGGCTCATAGCCTTTTAGAGCGTCCAGAGCCTTCAACCATTTCTTGATATTATGTGAAGTGAATCAAGTTAGCTGAAGATTGGCATCTGTGATGCCTGCAGCCTCTAGTGAAGATGAAGATGGATCATCCACTTGGCACTTCTGGCTGAAGTTTGTTGCTTCAGTCAATTGCACTAATGTTCTAGGCTTACCCATCATTGAGGATGGGGAGAGATAGTAGGAACTGCAGATGCTGGAAAATCTGAGATCACAAGGTGTAGAGCTGGATGAACACAGCAGTCCAAGCAGCATCATAGGAGCAGGAAGGCTGACGTTTCGGGCCTAGACCTTTCATCAGAAATTGGGGATATTTGTGGAGCCTCCTCCTCCAGTGAGTTGTTTAATAGTCCACCACCATTCAATACTGGATGTGGTAGGACTGCAGAGCTTAAATCTGATCCATTCATTGTGGAATTGCTTAGCCCTGTCTATCACATAGTGCTTACACTGTTTGGTATGCAAGTAGTCCTGTGCTTTAAGCTTCATTGATCACAGAAGATCATAGAGTCCCTACAGTGTGGAAACAGGCCCTTCAGCCCAACAAGTTAATACCGACCCTCAGAGCATCCCACCTAGACCTATCCCCCTATCACCCACTGAACACTATGGGGCAATTTAACATGACCAATCCACCTAGCCTGCACATCTTTGGACTGTGGGAGGAAACCCACGCAGACACAGGGAGAATATGCAAACTTCACACGCAGTTGCCGGAGGATGGAATTGAACCCGGGTCGCTGGCGCTGTGAGGCAGCAGTGCTAACCACTGAGCCACCGTGCCATCCTCGTCAGGTTAATATCTCACTCTTAGGTATGCCTAGTGTTACACCTGCCATGGCTGCTTGCACTTTTTATTTAACCACAGTTGATTCCCTTGCTTAATATCAATTATATACCCAGCTGCTTTGGGCTGTCACACAGAACATAGAACAGTACAGCACAGTACAGGCCCTTCGGCCCACGATGTTGTGCTGAACTTTTACCCTAAAACTAAGGTCTATCTAACCTCCACTCCTACCTTACACTATTATCCATATGCCTATCTA